ATGGTGCTTCCTCTGACTGGAAGAGCAGTCATTTGCCTATGTTGGCTTCCCTATGCTACTGAAGCAGAAGTAAACAAGGAATTGCTCTTGGCTGGCATGACTGATTCCCAAGGAAAAAATGGGTTTGCTGACACCAATGGAGGAAAAGAGCTATGTTTGGGGGATTCTATGAGATGCCTGTTAGCACTTTCATGCCTTTCCTTCCAGCCCCCCAAAGTCAGGCCTGCTGAGGAAGGTGACCCTTGAATCATTGCTGAAAGATATTTCAAGTATACCAAACTACAGACCAATAGCCTCATGAATATAGATGCAAAATCTTCAGGAATAATCCCACTACCGTATCAAACCCAACGGCATATTAAAAGTTAAGCATCACGGCTAAATGGGATTTATCTTACTATTAAAACTAAACTGGACGTGGTGGCACCTGCCTGTCATTAAAGCACTAGGGAAGTGAGGCAGGAGGTTTAGGGTTGGAGGCCAGCTTGGGCTACATAGACCTTGTTTCAAAAAACAAAAACAAAAAAGAAAACAAAATATATTACATTAATAAAGGAAAGCCCACCCATCAGCCTTCTCAATTGATGAGGAAAAAAAGCATTAGAAAAAAAAATCCAACCTTCTGTTATGGTTTGAACATGAAATGTCCCCCAAAAGGCTCATGCGTTAAAATAGTCTTAGTTGCTAGCCAGGTGCCAGTAGCTCATACCTGTAATCCTAGGTACTTAGGAGGCTGAGATTGGAGGGGACTGTGGTTCAAGGCCAGCCCAGACAAATAGTTTGAGAGGACCCTCCCCCATCTTCAGAAAAACCAGAGCAAACTATGGACTGGCGATGTGGCTCAAGTGGTAGAGCACCTGCCTGCTTTGCAAGCATGAAGTCCTGAATTCAAACCCCAGTCACACCAAAAGTTTAAGAAAAAAAAAGTCTTGGTTGCCAGCTGATGGGCTTTTGTAAGTGACTGGATACTGAAGGCTCTGACCTGATGAATAGGTTAATCCATTGATGGATTCATAATAATGGCATTATTGGGAGTGGGCCTAGTTGGAGGAAGTAGGTCACTAAGGGTATGCCCTGGAAAGATGTATCTTGACCCCTGCCCCGTTCTGCCTCCCATGAAGTGAGCAGCCTCTGGCCCTCACTCCCACCATCACGTCCTGTCCTACCTCAGGTCCAAAGCAATGGATTCAGCCGACTATTAACTAAAACCTCTGAAGCAGTGAGCCAAAATAAATGTTTCCTACTTTTAAATTGTTTCTCTCTAGTATTTGTCTCAGTGATGAAAAATCTAGCACACACTCTTTCACAATAAAAACATTCAACAAACTAGGCATGGAGGGGACGTTCCGCGACATCATAGAGTACTTATGAAAAACCCAATAAATAGTCATGGACCACACAATGATGTTGGCCAAAAGTCAACTGAACAACCTAGATGACCACGCCATCTAGATTTGTCTAAGTACACTTTGTGATGTTTACATGCCTACAGACACACTTCTCAGAATATATCCCTGTTGTTACATAATGTATGACTGTATTCAATGGTTCCCCTTAAGATCCGGAACGAGACAAAGATTCCTGATCTTCCCATGCTACTCAGCAATGTACTGTACTGGCCAACAGCTTTTTTTTCTTTTTTAGTGAGACTGGGGTTTGAACTCAGGGCTTGATGCTTGCAAAGCAGGTGCTCTAGTGCTTGAGCCACACCTCCAGTCCACTTTTCCCTGGTTATTGTAGAGATGGGGGTCTTTCAAGCTCTTTGCTGATTCTTCAAATCTCAGTCACCCAAGAAGCTAGGATTACAGGTGTGAGCCACCTGCACCTGGCTCCAGCAGCCATTTTTCACTTGGCAGAAAACTGGAAAAATGAAAACTAAAATTCATATGGAATTAAAAATGATACCAAATAGCTAAAACAATGCTGAAAAAGAACAAAGTTGGAAAACTCACATTTCCAGTTTTTGAAATTGACTGTAGGGATGGAGATGTAGCTCAGTGATCGAGTGCTTGCCTAGCAAGTGCAAGGCCCTGGGTTCAATCCTCAGCACTGTCAGAAAAAAAAATCAAAACTTACCATAAAGTTATAGTAATAAAAGTTGTATAGTATTAACATAAAGACTAACACTTAGACCAATGGAATAGAATTAAAAGTACAGAAACAAACCCATCCCTCTCTGGTTATTTGATATTTGACAAGGGTTCAAAGGCCATTCAAAAAGGAAAGAAGTCTTTTTGACAAGTAAGGCACCATTAATATCCACATGCAAAAGATTGAAACAGGACCCCGGCCTGATACCATACACACAATTAATACAAGATGCGTGAACTAAAACTAAGAAAATCTGCATGACTTGGATTTGGAAATGTTTTAAGATATGATACCCAAAGCTTAAAAAACAAAAGAAAAAGTAGACAAATGGGATGTGAGCAAAATTTTAAACTTTTGTCATCAGTGGACTCTACCATGTATCTGGTAAGGGTCTAGTATCCAGAATATGCAAAAAAAATTTTAAATATCCTAATTGAAAAAACAGACACAGGCCTTGAACAGACTTCTCCAAAGAAATTGTATAAATGGCAAAAAAGCCACTGTAAAGATGCCCAAGACCACTAGTTATTAGTTATTAGGGAATCACAAGCCAAACTGCAATGAGACACCACTTTAAATCCACCAGGATGGCTTTAAACAACAAAACAGAAGACAGCAAGTACTGGCTATGACATGGAGAAGCTGAACCCTTCCTACACTGCTGCTGATGGAAATTCAAGTGTGCAGTGACTACAGAAAACCTCCCAGTGCTTCCTCAAACAGTGAGACGTAGAATAACCACAAAGCCCAATAATTACACTCCCACATGTACATCTGCTCACACAACCAACTTATACACGAATGCTCCCAGCTGCATTGTTTTAACAACCAAAAAGTACACATACACACACACACATGAATATTGTGTTATTTGGCTTTAAAAAGGAATAAAATTTTGACACATGCTACAATATACATGAAACTTGAAAACATATTAAGTGTAAGAACCAGACTTAGAGGTCACACATTGTATGATCACATTCACATGAAGTACTGCCAAACGGGCTGGGGGTGTGGCTCAAGCAGTAGAGTGCCTGCCTAGCAAGCACAAGACCCTGAGTTCAAACCTAGTGCTGCTGAACAACAAAAAAAAAGAGATATGAAATGCTGCCAAATAGGTAAGCCCCTGGAGATATAAGGTAGAGTTCTGGTAGCCAGATGAGGGGGAAGGAAGAATTGGGAGTGGCTGCTGATAGATACGGAATTTCTTTTTGGGGGTGATGAAGATGTTCAAGAATTAGTGTGGATAGTCATGTAATATTGTGAATATATAGAAATCACTTTAGAATGGCTAAAGTGGTGAATTTGATAACTTATGCTATGAGAGCATTTAAAAATTGTGATGAAATATACAGAATGTTAACTATTTGAGTCATTTTAGTGGTAACAAAGCATATGCATATTGTTACACAGCCACTACCACCATCCCAGAGCTTCTCATACTGCTGAAGGAAACTGTGCCTGTTAAACAAGTTCCCTTCTCCCACCCCAGCCCCGGCAACACTGTCTCCTACCTTCCGTCTTTCTACACCTGACTACTCTAGGGCCTCACAAGTGAAGTCGTGCAGTATTTGCCCTTTTGTGTCTTACTTCACTTAGCACAGTGAACTCAGGCCTTGCACTTGCTGCACAGGTGCTTCACCACTTGAACCACACTCCCAGACCTTTTGCTTTGCTTATTTTCAATATAGGGTCTTACTGTATGCCTGAGCCAGCCTGTTATTTACGCCTCCTGCATAGCTGGGATCACAGATGCACACCACACCCTGCTTTTGTTGGCTGAAATAAGGTCTTGCCAACTTTTTGCCCCACCTAGCCTAGAACCACGATCCCCCTGATCTCTACCCTCCCAAGTAGCCAGGATTACAGGCATGGGCCACCACACCTGGCTTACTTTTTAAAATAAAAATAATTATAATCTGTTTTTCAAGGGAGGGAACCTGTTAAAAACATTTTTTTGAACACACACACACACACACACACACCCCTTTTGTATTAGCTGAAGGATTACCAACTCAATTTAGTTAGCAGCCACCCAAAAGAGTACTGGTACAATTTGTTTTTAAAAAACACAAAAGACATAAAAGTATCCATTGCAAATTTATTATGCATTAGGAAGCATAACCTAAAAACCAACAGCATAGTAAAAAGATATGTTATCTCTGTTCATGGCAGAACAGGTTTCAAAATATATTTTCTTTTAAATGTATTCAGTCAGTACACAATCCTTTATAAAAGTTGTATATATTTTTTCTGTCAATACCTTCATTACATTTATAAATACAAGATTTACACAGCACCCCATCAAAAAAATTAAAACCCTTACAAATATCTACATGTATTTCACACCTATAAAACTTTCAAAGGAGTGCTTTGTTAAAGGTGGGCCCTAGTTAACGGTCCATTTACTGTGCAGCAAAATACATATAAATCTGTAAAGATTTCTTTGTCCATAAAACATCTCAAAAAGTTAGCAAGACACTTGTTGTGAGTTGAGCATCACTAAACCCCACAGCTCAGAAAGTAAGTTGATGTGCGTGTTCCCATGAGATTCCAAAGTCAGACAAACAGATGAAGATAAAGATGGAGAACAAATGCATACTACACGACAGTTAAGGCAGGAGTGTGATGATGAGAAAAGCCGTGAAGCAGTGCAGGGAGACGTGGGGAGGAGCAAACAGTGACACCGGGTGATGAATCTGAATGTGGACACAAGCTCCATGGCTGGCCTGGCCTAACTCAACACTTTCTTAGAAGCATCCTCCAATTTCTTTGTTGCCACTAGAATGCTTTTTTTTTGAGATGAGGTCTAACTATGTTGCCTAGGCTGGCCTTCAATTCATAATCCTCTTGCCTTAGCCTCCCAAGTAGCTGGGATTAGAGAGGTGCACCACCACATCTCTGGCTTGATGTATTTTTTTCTTCTGTAAAATCATCTTGGATAGAGTAGGATACTAGGTCCAGGAATTTGAGTTGTTAATTCAACATGATTTGAATTTGTAAGAAGGATTTCCTTTATCTGGCCAAGGTGATCATTGATCAGTATTACCCATGTTCATTTTAGACAAGCATAAGGAGAGAAAATAAAGGGAGAGTAAAACTAGGTTTCCTTTGACCTTTGGACAAAGGAAATAAATCCCAGATCCTGAGTGACTCTTAACAGGGGTTGCTCAACACCTATGGGGTAAGCAGGAATAATTCTGAGAAAAGGGAAGGAAATAAAGGATTCTGTACCTGAAGTTGTGCCCAAGATGGCAGTTCCACTACCGCCTGCACCTTCTGCTAAACAAGGGCACTGAGACCCTGCTGTCACTCCTGCTCCTTCTAGTAGAGACAGGACTTTTTCCATTTGAGTTTCAAAGTTTAGACTCCAGATAACCTTGTGAGTTGTACATTATTTGCAGGGAAGTTTTTTGAATCTTACCTTGTTCTAATGTACAAACATAACGGAAAAGAATGGAAGAAAAAGAAGAGGAGGAGGGGAGGAGTGAGGGTGGGGGACACAGGGTCACTTATTAAACTTGGCCCGAAGGATGCTGCTAGCATCGCCCTCCAGCACCATGGGTCTCCGTGTGGTGTGGCTCCCTGCTCGTCTCAGAGATGATGCCTGCGGAATCCCCTCTTCTGCAGACTCACAGCTCAGTGCTCTGGTTCCCAGGTTCTTCAAAGGAGGAGAGCTCCCAGATGCTGCTGTCTTGCAGCAGTGGCTCAATGTCCTCATCACTGCCCTGTTCCGGGGTGTTGGTCAAGTTGCCACTGATGCTGCTGCTGTGTTTCTGAACCCCACTCGCTTTATGGTATTCAGGGATGAATAAGGCAACCAGAAAAGACATAAGAACTATACATGCTCCAAATAAAAATGGTGGGCCTGGGATGAGAGCTCCCTGGTAGAGGTGGGAAACAAGCACAAAGAGGAGTTTGGTTAGTTTATTTTTTCTTTTTTTGAGATGGTCTCACTGTAGCCCAGGCTGGGCTTGAACTCATGATCTCCTCTTGTCTCCACCCGAGTGCTGGGACTGTCCCAATTTGGTTTAGTTGTTTAACCCAATATTAGCCTTGGGTGACCTAAAAAAACACACTACCAAAAAGTGACTTATTTTCTCATAAACACTCAGTAAACGTCAATGCACTCTCTAACAGAGCTTAGGGTTTGGAACACAACACAGAGCGACTCATCTCTGCTTCTAGGCCTATAAAAACAGCAGACATTTACCTGCAATCTTGCTCTGTGGCCTCAGGTCATGTGCATGTACATGAGCATTACCAATTCCAGTGTTACAGAGAAACCTGTACTGAACCTCTCTTTTCAAAAAACAACAGAAAAAGCACTGTCACTCAACTTTTAGCTAGATTTTCAGGTTATCTTATATTTTATTTAGCCTGATCTTAGCCAGAGAACAACATCCTGATCAGAGTGACTGTGTAGGTAAAAACAGAATCTGGATAAAGTTAAGACAAAATGTCTATATAAAGATATTAAATCTCTGAAATGATCCCTTCCTGACTCAGGAGGCAGTGAACACAGAACTTACTGCTGTCAACTTCAATAACGATATACAAGTAAGAAAACTAAATTCAAGGTCCCAAGATTTTGCTAGAGCTGGACTCACTACTGTTACCTGTAGGGCATCATCATCTGAAGTCAACTCTGGGCCCAGCTCCGATAGCTCCACATGGAACATGTAGAATATGAAGCCGTACAGTGCCGGCCCCAGGCCATTGCACAGTCCGCGTATTCCAGTTATGATTCCCTGGGCAACTCCTGAACAGAACAAAGAGGGGGCATCAGCCTTCTCTGGACAGCTTTGCAAGGTGTGCGGCTCAGCACTGCGTACTACAACACACAGATCTGTTGCATCGAGCGCAAAGCGTGCTGAGAAAAGTGGGCTAGGAAGACCTGCTGTTTATCACATCTTCATTCATCACACAAACCTTCTCTCGGTTTTATTATGTCCATTTAATGCTGCCCTCACTCTACCTACTAAGGTCTATGAGAGACCAAATGACAGTGATCTGTTTCTGAAATCTTTTTAGATTAGATCTGCCCTTAAATGAGGAATAATAAAATATGAAATTAGCATTTTCCATTTCAGGTAGTATCCATTATGCTACAGATTGAGATTTCCTTGCTTGGCTCATTTAATGGTGCATTTCCAATAAAAATCTGCCTTTGGCCTCAACAGCCTTGGCCATGTGAATACAAAGCAGCACCTCCTCTCTGCACACCTTCAGGCAGACTCAGTGCTCACAACTGCACCTGCATTCCAGGCCCATTTCAGAACAGGTGTGCACTGAAAAAATTCCACAAGTGCCAATTTTGAGATTTCTCACCTTCCTAACATGGCAGGCAAAAATTAGCCTGAACCATGTGAAATGGGTATCTCTCTGTCTCAGAAATAGTCAAATATGATTTGGCCTAATACAATGTAATCCAAAAGTTTTGTATGTTGATACTTTAAACACTTGTACTAATCTGAATAAGCATAAAAATCATCAAAGACATTTCATGTCCCGAAAGACAGGACAGTCCTCTGCAGATGGCTCAGGACTTCACTCCAGACACATCTCCCTGAGGACACACAGCCTGCTGAGTTCCTGCAGCCAGAAGTGATGCACAGATTTGTGGCTAATTGCTTTCTTTTCTTTTAACTATGAGTGCTTTTCTAGCATGTGTGAGGCCCTGAATTTGATCGCACAAGTTGCATACACATGCACGTATGCACAGGTGTAGACATGTATGTTTGCATACATGTTTGTATACATTCATACACAGTACATCCTCTAAAACTCACTACTTGCTGACTACAGGAAGGTAAGTCATCAGGAGATGAAGAAGGAAAGGGTTAGCTCTGGCAGTGACCACCTGATTGGGAAGTGGAAGTGCAGAAGGTTGATGGCCTGTCTGCCCTCCACACAGCAGTCAGAACTTACCTGTCACTACTGTATCTAATTACCAACAATCACATGGACTTCCCTTATCCTCCAAAAGAATCACTTCCTCAAATAAGTTCACAGACTTTTCATTATTTCAAATTAAAGAAATTGTAGTGATTTAATGAGTACCTCATTGGTAACCAGCTATCATTTAATAGCAATCTGTTGAAATGCGATTACAGTCAGCTCAAACCTGATACAACTGGACAAAAGGAGTCAAAGCTGAAGAAGGAAAACGGGTATTTTCTAACTCTTGATAACATGACCTGTTGAGTTTACGTTTAAAGTATGACAAAGTAAGCAGGTATGCTTCTTGCAGGGACCACTGGGCTGTCACTCTTGCTCTCGATGTGAGAGCTCAGGGCTTCGTGCTTCTGGGCAGGGAAGTCCCAGCTAAAAGTGGAAACAGCAAGGACCACAACCTCACCTTGCTGATCGGACTCTGCGTTCTGAGAGACGAGGGCACTGACTGCCGGGAACGTGATGCTGGACATGGCGGCCACAGTCCCTGCTGCCCACATCATCCTACAACAACAGGAGAGACTGTGGTCAGACCCAGGAACTCGTGGCAGAAGTACAAACGTCTTCTGTTTTCTCATGTTCGTTTTTATTTTTTTGCTCTTTAAAAATTCATATCCAGCTTGTTTTTGAGATAGAATCTAGCTTTTGCCCAGGCTGGCCTTGAACTGTAATCTTCCTGTCTTCATCTCACAAGTAGATGGGATTAGACATATGCTGCCATACCTGATCAATGAAGTTCTTAAGAGGACTTCTCTTGTTTCTACAAATACCACATTTCTCCACTGATTTTTTCCAATCTTTTTTGTATTTCTCGAAGGCTCACTTCACACTGCCCTTGAGCTGCGCAGCCTGCTAGCTTTTGACAGTGCAGAGTGCCATCAAATGAACAAACAGAGCCCAATTCCCTCAGATCTTTTCCTTTTCTCAATGAAAGGCTTATGTGTGAGTCTGTAGGCAATATGAAGTGTGAGTGTGAATAAAGTGAGGCCCAAATGCACTTATGACCCACTGGGCCAGACTTCCTTGGAATGGTTCCACTGAAAAATAAAAACTCTTTATGCTGACAAAGTCTTTTTAATACTGCAAGAGTCTTGACTGAATTGGCCAATGACCACTGTTCACAGGACCAAAATAAAAAAGAACCAACCAGGGTTGGCAGAGTGGCTCAAGCAGGAAGAACGTCTGCCTAATAAGTGCAAGGCCCTGAGCCTAAGTTCTAAATCCCAATGCCACAAAGGAAAAAAAAAAACCAAGTTAGCCTTAGGCACAACATCACCCAGGAAGAGCGAGTGTTCTGAAGAAATACAGAATTTCCTATTTTTTGTTCCCCAATTAACCAACCTCTGGCCACTGAAGCATATCAATTCTCTAAATTATGCCTGCCATGTATATATGCAAAATGGGGACAACTCTGGTGTCTAAAATGGAGCCAGGGACTGCAGTATTTGGCAACCACAAAGCAAAATGGAGCTCAGGATTCTTTTTGTTCCTTTTTATTCCACAGGGCTTATTCTGACCTTGCTTCCTGTTTATGGGAATTAAAACGAGGCACTAAAAACTGCCTCAGGATACACATGGTTTTGGAGGAGATCTAAGTGTTCACCAAACTCAAATGCTTTACTTCACAATATCTATTATTGCTTAAGGTCACTCAGTTAATTATGCGGATGAGGCTTACTATAATCAGTCATTTTTACTTGTCTTTTTGTTTTGAATGTAGGTGATACCCCTAAGAATTAACAAATGTGCTTAAAAAACAGACATAAAACTTTATTGGAGGGCTGAGGGAAGAGGGACACACTTCAGTTAAGCAATGATTCAGTGAAGGCCTGATGAGGTATAGGCAAGCTTTACAAGTCATCTTGAATTATCTAGCTCCACCCTTGCCTAACATGAAGCCTGAAGGTTTCTGAAATGGTGAGTATAGCAAACCAGTGAAATAACCTGATTCTTCTCATCACACTCAGCCAGCTTGAGCTCCTCTCTAAGACACATCAGCTCTGCTAATTTCATGAGAATCTAAGGGTGAGGCTTACCATGCCTGGGATCCAAACCCATACCAGGCCAACTGGAGCATCTGGAAGCCCAAGCCAAGGAGGACAGTATTCTTATTTCCCAACGATCTCATCAAGATGCTAAGAAAGACTGTCTGCAAAGAAAAAGGGGCAACCCCAAGAAATGTGAGCACGTGAATGTGAATGCAAGGTCGAATTCAGAATGTGTTCTCTGAGAGTATAACTCATTCGCTGATGACCAAAGACTGCTGAGGGAACACTGCCTGCCTATGACCTCAGTGGCTGGGCAAGGGGAGAGTTTCAGGGCTTAAGCCCTGACCTAGGATTCGGGGCTCTTGGCCTTCTTCCAGAGAAGCCTGCTGACACCTCCCAAAAGGTTATGTCAGCCATTTACCAGTTATGATGACTGAGAAGGGCTCTGGAGAAATGCCAAGCACTTAACAATGGGAGAACAGTAAACCCTGATGAACATTTAAAGAAGATGTGGAGTTTTGCTGGAGTTTAACAGTCTTACAAAAGCTGGGATTGGTGTAAATTTGATTTTAATAAATACATACTCTGTAACTAGTTGGGATAGTCTGTTATGGAGTGAGGTAAAAGAAACCTCTGGGCTAACAGACTAGAGTTAATGTAAAAAACAAACCAAAATCAGGACCAATGTTTAACATTTGCTTATAGAGTAAAAATAACAACAAAAGGCCTTAGAGAAAGAATTTTGCAGCATTCTTGTTCTTCCAGAAAGCATTAGCCACAGAATAGCTCTCCTTGGCCTGGTGGCCATTTCAAGGCAGTCCCCTAGGCTGTCCTGGAACAAATACTGAATGCACCTAAGCACGACAGCATGTAATTAATATAAAGTACATGTGACCTGTCTTTTGTGATTCCGTATTTATAACAGATAAGAAAAATTTAATCCTATGTATATCCTAATACGATGATTCATTTTATTTAGTCCTGGAGACACAGACCTAGAACAGTTATTGCTATTCATTTCTATTTCCTTTTCACTACTAAAGTAATACTGAAACATTCTCTTAGTTAATTTTTCAATATTTAAAAGCTATTTTGTAATTTTTTACAACTTCAGTTATTTTAAAAGCAAATGAAAGAATTGATCTGGCAGAAGTTCCAAATAGTCTTATTGAAAGTTTTATGAAATGAAATTCCTCCTAATCCTGACCTCAACATTATGTCAAGAAGGAATGGGTCTATGAGTCAGATTCCTGGACTTGATGTTATATTCTAGTTGTACAAGTGTCCCATAGCAGGAGATCCTCAGGAAGCAGGGCCTGTCAGATTAAAAACAAAACTTAAAGAAAAGTAGAGGTGAAATAACACTCACCTGAGCTACAATGGACAGAATTCCTACCATAGCTATGAATGCTGCAATTTTAACAGATCCAAAACCTATGACCTATGGAAATGGAAGACAGCACTTTAGTGATAGAGATAATCTGATAGGAGAAATCACTAGAAGCAGGCATAACTTAAATTGTGAAATATTTTTAAACATTTTTATTATACCTATTTTCATCTTCCCCCTCCACCTCCAACCCACCAATCAACAAATGTAACAATAACATGTAGTAAAGACAATATGAAAGATGCTGCCAATCCAGAATGTCCTCATCAGTGAAGCCAGTGCCTCTCAACTCAGGTGGCATTAAAGTCATGTGGGCAGCAGAGAAGGGAAAGGAGGGAAGCAGTAAGATGCCAGAGCCCTCAGGAGACCAATTACTTCAGATCGTCTGGGGTGTTCCCCAGACACGAGGATATTCTAAGAAGCTCCCTCAGCTCTTCTGAAGAGCAAGCAGCTGCAGTAGGCAAGCAACGGCTTCTAAGCCTCTCACCCTAACAGTACCTTTGAAATGCCTTAAATTCTTAAGTTTTAAAATGGACAAATTATTTTATCCTCTACTGAAAGTCTATAAAATACATAAACAGTCCCTTAAATTATCTAATATATTCTTCCCATTTCATACATGAGTGTCTTGTTCCCATTCACACAACTAGGCAGTAAAATCCTAGGCTAGACCCTCTGGCTCCCAATGCGGTGGCAATGACATTAACGGCATTCTTTTACTATCTAAGCCCATGCAATTACAAAAATCAGAACCTAAAAATGTGGCTTTCACAATATACGTTTCACTACAAAAAATATTTCTCTCTATGTATTTCATTATATTTTCTATATCTATAAGCATATATATTTTATTATTGTATATATCTACATACATATTTGTATATAAATATCTCCTATGTCATATCTCTAATATGTGGAAATTTTTCTTGTCTTTTCTAGGCTACTCTGGTCTGGGAAATATGTATCCATCCTTGCAGTTTTCATTGTGGTGGTCAACCTCCACAAAATTCTGCATTTTCCTGTTCATCATCCTAAGGACAATGTTGAATAGGCAGAGTTTGTAATTCTATAAATTCTAGGTAAGAGAGTTTCCATTTTCTTGGTATTGATGGAATTTATGTTAATTTAGTAGATATAGATCAATAGATTAAACATGGATTGGCATCTTTCATTTATAATCATTCTGGTATTTGCCGGAATATCTGTATAGTGTCTGCGGGTATTCTTCCTTGTTTTGTGAAATCAGACGTTATATATTGAACAGGAGTTTGTCTTAACTATGTGTCACCCTACACATGATCCTTCCAAATTAGTTTTAGTCTTTTCTATCACAGTATATTTTGCATCCAGAAATGAGTATGCATAACTTAATGATTTGTATTAATGATCAATATCCTAGTCTGTGCTCCTTGTGGTATGGGGCTCTCTTGGGTGTCCTTCTCCTTGTCATGGAAGAAGAGCCCTTAAATTTTTAAGATTTTACTCAGTATCATTTGGCTAAGTTTCACTGATAGATTAGTCTTATTTTCACCTGTACCTTACTTTTTTCCATGTTTCATGATTTTTTAGAATTTACCTTATTTTCAACTTGGAAATTCCAATACAGTATTTCCAAATAGTATGGTTGCTATCTGCAAGAATAGTTTTGTCATTTATGTTCGGTTCAATATTTCTCTTTGTCAATTTACCCTCCTTGCTCTCAAATTTAAAAAGTTGTCATTGTGTTGCCAGAAAAATTTTGAGTTCTCTCTAGTCCTGTTTAGCTATCAGATACACAGTTCTGAAGAACCAGCGCAAACAACTTCAACGTTTGTTCCCCAAATGATTTCTTATTTCCTTTTCAAAATTTCGGTGTAATTTTGTGATTCTCTTGTATTTGGAAATAATGTATAGCATATATCTGTATCTAAATAGATGTGGAGGGTGATTTTTAAATTTGTGTTTTCTCATAGTTTTTCCAAATTTTTGTGATTTTGTTGTAGTATGTATAAACTTATGTGATTAGATTATTTTCTTTCTTCGTAAAAATACAAGGATGAAGTTCTCCCTTTTATCTAACGTATACATCGATGTGTATTTGTGTCACCTATAGGACCATTTATTTTATAGTATGTATTCATTTTTTAATTTCATTTTTGTTATCTATATATTTTTCCTAAATATTGGAGTGTAGCTACAAGCGTGATAAGTTTCAAATTTATGTGTCCTTTTTTGAAAATCCTTACTTAGCTAAATTTCTCATTTCTGTTGCAGGCAATCTGTGAGCACTTTAAAATTCTTTCTCATTGTGACATCATAAAATTTTTCATACTTCAATGTTCTGTTAGGAATTCCCATAAAAGAGATTCTTTAACACCCAAGAAAAAGCACTCCAACAATTTACCTTTCCAATGTCATACATGATTCATCACTCATTTTATACTTGTATGGCGTTCACACTTAATTCCTAACAATTAAGATATATGGGGCAACATAAATTTTGATATACTTTTCAGTCATGTTCATGCTCATTTCTGGATGGTAATTTCAATATGCAGCTTCTTCAAGATTATCTGTATTGGCAATCTACCTTTAAAGGTTATTACCTCTCCACTCACATGCATATTTCTCCATGCACATTACTAAATATTTTACAAATTGTATAACTTAATATCGGAAGGCATTTTCTACATTTTGCCTGCACTTTTCTATCACAGTTTCGGTGAACATTGAGGTTATATCAAAGCCTGCAAAATGTCCTCAACTTTAGAGATTTCCTTATGCGTTCCGCAATTTGCTGAAATATTACTATTTCTAGGTTCTTTTCATATTAGCCAGCATGGATATGACGGCTGAAATTTAATTGTCTCGACTTATGTTTTGCTACAAAATGTTGATTGAATTTTAATTACTTCATTTTCTTGCAGATAAATTGTTATATGACACTTGACTATGGCATATTTGTTAATAATCATTCATATATGTGACATTGAGGGTTTTCTTTATGCATTCTAACAAGTGTCACTTCCTTTCAAAATCTAGTCAATATCGTGAATTTTACCGAGTTCCTGATAATTATTTTCTTACTGTTATAGCTTCTTTGAAGTAACTTCTTCTTACTAAAGTCACGTTATATCACATTCTCTGGATATGTCTTGAGTCTTCATTACCTATCTTTTTCTATTAGTTTCTATTTTGTTAACTTATTTCCTATCCACATGTTCTTTATTAAGAGTGTGAAAGTTCATATGTAAAAGCACAAGGCAGTTTTATTTCTTAAGGTGTTCTTCTAAGAGTAAAATATCCTTTGAAATGGTCTTCATTAAGAAAGTAAAACTATTTAATAACAATTTCTTTTTGCCTACAAATTGCACTAATTCTTCCTTTTACTTTCTGCTTGAAAATTAATATAATACTGTAACTTTTGATATTATGAGAGTATCTATGAGTCCTGTTAACTACAATTGACCTGTTTATTCCAGGCGGATTAATGGCAATATTTTACATTTTTCTGGTAGTGGTAAGATATGGAGATGTCTTATTATCTCATGGTTATTTATTAGGAACTCTATTTGAAAGAGAGGCTTTTTTGAAATCGAAAAAACCCACCTAAAACACTACAAGCCAATATCTGTTCATTTCAGTTCACTTGAACAGACTACTATATTCAGAATTCTCCGTTTCTAAAAACGATGGGTAACAGCTTGTCTTTACCTTGTCAATTCTTAGGAAGGCAAGTCAGGACTTTTATGAAACGGGCAACTTAACTCATTTTGAAAAGTTGTAACATAAGTTGTGCTTTGGGAAGTTACCCACTAGATTATATGTAAAGTTAAGAAACTGGCAGTTTATATTTTCTGGAGACCAACAGCAATTAAAAATGCTGTGGGAACATTAAATTGAAAAAATACCTAGTGTACCTATCAAATATCGTGTTACTACTATATGTTAACTGTACTAAATATGGATTTGCTAGATTACTGGATTATTTTCAAGGGGCTGCTGAATGCAGTGGTTACACATCACCTGGAAAACAGAATTTCGAGGACACTTCAGTCATTACAAAGGCAGAGACAATCAAGTGGTCACAGTTTTCTATGCCAATGTGGCCAGTCTTCTAAAGTTTATACAAAGGGAATTATAAAACTACAAGGAAACCCCATGTCAAAAAACATTTCACAACACGAATGATGTTAATATTAAAAGAAGAAGCAACCTATTTTCATCATACTTGCAGTTAAACTCAGGACCTTATACTGCCTATGCAGGTGCCCTTGAGTCACCCTCCGAGCCACTTTTTGCTGATTAAGTTTGATATCACGTCTTCCTTGTATGTCACATTTTCTGTGATGTAGTGAGGTATTTATAAAATTTATATGTTTCTGAATTATTTCCTTAATTTTTCATTTCCATGGTAATTCTATTTTTAGAAGTTTTCATGTATACAAGACATTATATTATTCTTTCCAAATTAGTCATTGTTTACTCCTGCATTCACAATATACTTTTCACTACAAAAAATATTTCTCTCTGTGTATTTCATCATATTTTCTATATCTATAAGCATATATATTTTATTATTGTATATATCTACATACATATTTGTATATAAATATCTCCTATGTCATACCTCTAATATGTGGAAATTTTTCTTGTCTTTTCTAGGCTACTCTGGTCTGGGAAATATGTATCCATCCTTGCAGTTTTCATTGTGGTGGTCAACCTCCACAAAATTCTGCACTTTCCTGTTCATCATCCTAAGGACAATGTTGAATAGGCAGAGTTTGTAATTCTATAAATTCTAGGTAAGAGAGTTTCCATTTTCTTGGTATTGATGGAATTTATGTTAATTTAGTAGATATAGATCAATAGATTAAACAGGGATTGGCATCTTTCATTTATAATCATTCTGGTATTTGCCGGAATATCTGTATAGTGTCTGCGGGTATTCTTCCTTGTTTTGTGAAATCAGACGTTATTTATTGAACAGGAGTTTGTCTTAACTATGTGTCACCCTACACATGATCCTTCCAAATTAGTTTTAGTCTTTTCTATCACAGTATATTTTACATCCAGAGATGAGTATGCATAACTTAATGATTTGTATTAATGATCAATATCCTAGTCTGGGCTCCTTGTGGTATGGGGCTCTCTTGGGTGTCCTTCTCCTTGTCATGGAAGAAGAGCCCTTAAATTTTTAAGATTTTACTCAGTATCATTTGGCTAAGTTTCACTGATAGATTAGTCTTATTTTCACCTGTACCTTACTTTTTTCCATGTTTCATGATTTTTTAGAATTTACCTTATTTTCAACTTGGAAATTCCAATACAGTATTTCCAAATAGTATGGTTGCTCTCTGCAAGAATAGTTTTGTCATTTATGTTCGGTT